TTAAAGATAATTTTCATATATTTTAAAGTTAAAAAATAATTTTAATATAAATATAAAAGTTAAGGGACTAAATTGATATTTTAATTTTTGTAAAGTCTCAGAAGAATGGATACCTTAAGGGCCCGATTGCTGAAGAGGGTTACTTATTGGGAAAGTTTTTATTAGAAGAGCAATCATAAAAGTATTATATAAAAAAATTAAAAATATTATTAAGTTTTTTAATTAAATTTGGTTAAAATTTTATTAAATTATTAATTTTATTGTATTCGGTAAGAAATTGAAATGGGAAGTTATTAGGCAAAGTTATCATGTGGAGATAATATAAAAATAGTTATAAGGAAATTTTTTCCTTGTAAAATAACTAAAAAAAGTAGAAAGACTTTACAATTAAAAATTGTGTTAAAGAAAATAAATATAAAAAATATAACTTTTATTCTTTTTTTATTATAATATTAATATATGAAAATAAGTTATAACTTTGTAAGAAAAAAACATTAGAAAATTTTAAAGGAAAAGTTCCCTGAGGTATTTGGTTGGGGAAACTTTCCCCTAAAGTTTTTTAAACTTTCTTTTCATAAGGTCATTTATATATTTTTATATATTAATACTATAATAAAAGTAGGGTAAAAGTAGAATTTTTAACTTTTATTTTCATTAGCACAATTCTCAATGGGTAAACTTTTCTTCTAACACTTTTTGAAGAAACATTTTTTTTTTTCCTTAATTCCCTATATAGAATTTACTTGATAACTTTCTTACTAATTTTCTCCATACCAATTTCTTATCAAATACAAAAAATTATCAACCTAATAAAATTCCAACAAAACTTATCAACTTTTATAACAGTACATATCAACTTTCCATATAATATTTTTCTAAGTACTTTTCTAACCACTTTTTAAGTAAAAACTTTTCTAATAACCAAACAGCCCTAATGAGTTATTTGGTCAGGAAACTTTTCCTCTAAACTTTTATAAACTTTCAACCAACGTTATAAGTATTTTTATACATTAATATTATAATAAAAAGGTGGTAAAAGTAGTATTTTCATCATTTATCTTTTCTAACACTATTCTTATCCCATTTTCCATACTTTTTGAAAGGAAAAGTTTTTCCCTCAAGTATACTTATGTATGACTTACTTGACAACTTTCTTACTAATTTTCTCTATACTAATTTCTTACCAAACATATAAAACTTAACAACCAAAAATTCCAACAAAACTTTATTATAAGGGCCTATTCAGTTAGAGGACCAGCTCTATCATGAAAGTTTTTACTAGGAAAGTGATTAGGAAAGTATTGTATGGAGAGTTAATAAGTATTATACAAAAAGTTAATAAGTTTTGTAGGTAAATTTTGTTGAAATTTTATTAGATTATTAACTTTTCTATATTTGATAAGAAATTAGTGTACAAAATGTTATTAAGAAAGTTGTCAAGTGGATGCTACATAC